CTCTATAAACTCTAGAACTAAAACAGCCCCATGTAAATAGTCGGTGACCATTTTGACACTTTACTCAACAAAAAACACATGAAGTGTACTAGTTGATGGATATGTACATCATAGATAAAAGTTACATAGTTTGAGACAATGAAAAGGATAATCTATGCAAGTGTAGCAGGCAAGTGTAGCAGCAGATTAAAACAATGAAAAGGATAATCTATGCAAGTGTAGCAGCAGATTAAAAATATATATATATTTGAACTAGATAGCACTAGTTCAACTAAACTAATGCTAGTCAATTCCAATTTTTATAAGATGGGAGACAAAGGTACAAGTGCAAGATTTGATAGTGTGGGTGAGTGCATGAGCATGCGATTATACAGGAAAGGAAGACTAAGGCTATCAAGGAGCAATCAAAGCAGCTTTTCACTTAATTGCACAATTTAAATGCTTGAAGCCATGTTGAGCTTGACAAAAATAAGGAGAGTCAAAAGCTAAGGCTTCTTTTCTATTTCTAAATCAAAGGAAAAGTTTGACTTACCATTATTTTTTAAATCTATATACCATAAATTTAATTATTAAAATTTTTAAAGAAATTATAATAGGAGTTTGGTATTGAAGAGAAGAATATATAAAGAGGAAACTAATGACTTTTGCAAAAAATTAAAGATGCAGAAATATAGATGTGAATAGAAAAACTTAAGAATTTATTTTCATTCAAAGCTTTATGCTATGAAATTAACTTTAAGACTATCTAAGTTCTAAGTAAGAAAATAAGAAAATTAGCTATAAAAGATAATAATTTAATTATGATGCTATATTCAAAATGAGAATATAGTATTATGCTATAAGTAAACTTAAAATTAAAAAATTGGGAATTTATTAATATTGTTAAATTAGAATTTGCAAATATTTATTTAAAGAAAAGCAAAACTAATTAAATAAGATTCACGTATTTAAGTGGAAGAAATAAAAAAATAAATAAATAACAAAAGAAAATATTATGAAGTATACATAAATATAGTTTAAATAAAATATTTAAAGCAACAACTATGACATAGTTTATTAAAATATTAAATTAACAATAGAAATAATATTATTGCATAAGTTATACTCGTAAATAAAATTTGAGAGAATAGCTAAAAGATTTGAACAAAGTGCAAATGTAGAACTTTAAATTTCATAATAATATGATCAATCTTACTTCATGTTTGATTTGAAGATTGAACTGGTGTTGAAGTGTGGTACCGAGTATGTGTGACCAAGTATAGGGAAAAACAAATAAATTTTTAAAGGCCAAGCTCTTGCGATGATTTTGAGGGGGTAGCATACTTTTAATTTATAGTAATAATATTGTTTCATCTAAATCAAATAGAACAAATGATGCTTGCTAAAATCAATTTTTATTGAAAATTCAATAATATTTTATTTTTTCTACGGTGTGCATTGCTTGGTCGAAATAAATGTCATGTTTAATTTATTTATCTTTTGCACTCTTGATTATTCGAATATTGAATGATACAGAAAGAGTATGAATGACATGCATTATATGCAAAAACTTGTATATGCATGTTGACTAATAGAATTCAGCCGCTTTTGATACTAAGGATGTTACGGAACCCACAACGTGAAATGAAAAACATTAATATTATATTATTTTAAATGATATAACTTAGGAGTTGCTTATGTGATAAGTGTAATATATTAAAAAAAATAAAACAAATGAGATCATATGATAATTTTTTCTTGCTCATGTTATTGAATTACCTCACATATTGACAGTGTTGGAATAAAATAAAATTTTAAATGATTTATATTTATTTATTTTATTTAACAAGCATAAATGTTTTTAAACTCCATAATGTTACAATAATGTAGTAGTACAATGTATCCAATGAGTTGTGAAATAGTAATATTTTTTGCTAAACTTTTGAAAAAATTAATGAGTAGAAAAAGAGAATAAGTATCGTGTCGTGATCATACCAAATAATGGTAATTTTTTACTCAATTATATTTTTATTTAGAATAAATTTTCTAAGTATGTGACTCTTTCATGATTTTAAATGTTAAACTAATTTTAATTTCCATTTTGAAACTAATTTCAAAACAAGTTGATGTAATTTAAAATTTGTTTGAATTCTTATTACTGCCATGGTGATTTCAAGCAAACAGATATGGTCTTGACAGCATGATTACATGATGAAGTCTTCGGACATAAACTTGGGGAGGTAAGAGAACTGACAAAGTACATATTTGGGGTTGCAAGTGAAATATGCTTGTTCCTAATCATCGATCATAATCTGGCTAGCAAGATAGTGATAGTGATAGAACGCACATGCCAAGATAGGATAAGGAAGACTCAATAACCATCCAAAGAGTGTCTACTTCTATGTAATTTGGATCAAAAGAAATGCTACATGATTCTCAAATCACATAAATGGAATCAAAGAGCATGTCGTCAAGAGTTCATAAGTGTAATTGCATAGTTAATCAAACATCATACAAGGGAGATCAAGTCTCAAAAAAATGGAACATTGAAATGAAATTCAGATAATAGTAAGATAATGATGAATTTTGAATTTCTTTTCACATGTTTATTTTTTAACTTATAATTCAAAATTAGGATAAATCTTGTTTCAATTTTGGTTGCCAGCTAGTTGATTTGTTGTTGTTACTGGTTGTAATAATTGTGGAAATTAATTTGTTGTTGCCACATATTGTCGTTGTTATTGTCAAGTAACACTCACGACTGCATTGTTGTTGTGAACTCCATAGTTGCTGCAACATTGCAAGAATAAAAAGCAGCATTTGCATGATGTTTGCACAAAAAAAGGGCAATGTTGTTGTTTTCAGCAAAAAGGAAGAATAATAGAATAACATCCTCAATGGAGTGAAACAACACTTAATGTACATTCAATTGATTGATAGGTCAATAGGAATCGCCAAAAAATTACTACAACCTCTATCAATCAATTCTAACCTCTCTTTTGAGCAAACGGAATAAGGTTGAGAGGATGGTTGTAGTTCAAGTTGCTGTCAACATATCGATTCCTAGTGCAATATAAACAAAAATAAGATATAAAAATAAGGGAAAGCCACTTCTTGTCTTGGAGAAGCATCTAAAGTCAAGAAAGAGACGAGCAAGATGAAGATGAAAAGAAAAAGGAAGAAAGACAATCAATGATTATACATCAAATCCACTTGATCAAGTGGCTAGACTGACAAGCAGATTACCATCATGATGGACTGGGTGATAATGCAAACAGTCAACATTGTGACTAGTGGGCCAACCTATATTCCTCCTTTCATGTCAGATGCGAACATGGTCTGAGAGATTAAAGATGATGATATGGCTACCAATTTTAAAAGATGTAACCATTCAAAGTAGAAGCCAAAGTGTAGATTCCTAATTTTGCCAGTACAATTGATGCTAAAAGTTGCAAGGACGGATCAACAAAATTGGAGACTTTAGTGATATAGGTAAAGCATACATGATAAGATAGACTTTAGTGATATAGGTAAAGCATGCATGATAAGATTGACTTAGCCCAACTTAAGCTAGGGCTGCAAACGAACTAAGCCAAGCTGAGCAGGTGCATGTTTGAGCTCAAATTTGTTTATTAAGAGCTTATTCTAGTTATAAATATCATATTCGAGCTCAATATATATAGTTTTATTGAGCTTATTAAGAAGCAACTTATTTAACAAAATAAACAAATTATAATCAAGCCTTGATCAAGTTATATACGAGCAGCTTGTTGAAAAAAATAAACAATTAGCAACTTATTTAACAAAATAAACAAATTATAATCAAGCCTTGATCAAGTTATATACAAGCAGCTTGTTGAAAAAAATAAACAATTTGTATAAAATAATGCTCGTTGAACCTAAAAATAAACAATTAAAAAATAATGTTATGAAAGAGCTATAATCGAGCTCTAATCAAGCTTGTTTATGAGCTTTAAATGATATTGTTCATGAATATAAATGAATCAAACTAGTTCATTTTATAATTTAGTACTTATGAAAATGTTCGAGTTTGTTTGATTAGTTAATGAAACAATTATGAATGAGCTTTAATTAACCCGGGCCACAAGTAACTTATCAAACGCTCGGCCCATATGGAGTCCTAAAAGAATCAAAGTAATCATGCCCAGATGCATGGAATGTCCATCTGAACATGAAAGACCATAAAAAATTGACGTAAGAATATTCAAAAGGTTAATATATCAAGAATTCTTCAGAATAGAATATAAAGATGATAAGTATCATTGTTTAAGGCAACTTCAAAGAAAATATGTGCAGTACCACAATACTTCAATGATCAAGCAAATACTTGAAAATAAATCTTGAGGTCTAAATATTGGCAGATTATACCTCCAGGCTTTCTTTTCACATAGCAAACAAGCATTTCTTGCTCCAAACATCAAATTTATATCAAGATAGCAGGATAATGATGGTGATGGAGCACAGAAATTAAGGAAAAATGAGGAAGATTCAACAACCATCTGAACAAGATATCTTCTTCTGTTTTCCATTTATGTGAATTGGATCAATAGAGATTCTAAATTATTCTCAAACACAAAGGGAGAAAAAAGTATTTGGATTCATAATGCTGCTTGCAAAAAAAAATGCTAACTTTACAATGCTTCCTGGTTTTTATCTTTGCTCCTTTATTTAGTGTTCTTATAGTTCTTCTGTATTCCTTTGTACTCAGTTTGTAACCTTTGTTTATTTTTAATTAAAAGGGTTGGCCCAACTTTTCATTAAAAGTATAAAGAATTATCTACTGAGTCTCTGATTTGAAGGCATCAAGCTTATCATAGTAAAAGAAGGTAGAATAAAAGATTTGATCATTACACATTTTTCTTCTCATTGTCAAAAAAAAAAGGTCTCAATAATAAGTCTAAAGTTAGAGAACATGCATAGCTCTATAGTGTTAAATCAACGTTCAACAAATTACTACCTAAAAATTCTTCTTGATCACCACACGAATTACCAAACTTTACCTTTTGGTTTCTTTCTTTCTGCTGAAACAATATCATCCGGGGATAAGGTGTCAAACCTGAAAGGAACTGTACACATTAACATGTATCAATCAAAACATAAATTTTTCAAAATTAATATCAAAACAGAAATTACAGCAAAAAAAAAATGAATTAATGATGCATAATCATAAAAAAAGTACCTTAAAGTTCAATTTTGGCATATGAATAAAAAATGATGGCAAAAAACAGAAATTAGAGAACAATAAGTTCAGAAATGAACAAAGGTTATGTGGCCTAAAAAAAAAAAAAAAAAAAAGGGGGAAGTTGGCTATTCAATTCTGAAAATTTATATAAACTGAAAATATAAGTGAAAAAAAAAATTTGGATTTATTTGAATTTAAATTGAAAAGATTTCAGCATTAAATTATTTTATATAACGGATTAACTAAATTCTGATCACGCTTTGCAGCACTATAGTTAAATCACCAGGGAAAATTTGTCCTTTAACTTAAAAGAGACTATTTTTATCCTAAATATACTTTCGTCAATTCCGTTTACTGCAAAGTAATTTCTTTAATGATACAACAACTACTCTCTAAATAGATGGTGCAGGTCATTCATCCCAAAAAAATTAAGATGAAATTATTTAGCAATTCTTGTGAGTTAAGTACGGAGAATATTATTTATAAATTATCAAGCAATGATCATGTAGGTGTCATCTGCAAGGAAATTACAAGATCTTTATATACAAACCAACATAGCCTTTGAATTTTCCTCCATTGGATCTTAATAAATACATAAGATGTCCTTCTTGCTTTCGACAAACTTCTATCAAGCATGTCCATTCATTGCTGATTACAGCAGATATGGTTAAAACCACAAAAAAAAAACTACTGAATTTCGATCCAAAAACTTTTACAAACCTATAGTAATAGAATGCTTAGAAATTGAAGCCGGGAATGCATCCTGAAGATTATCTGAAAGGCTGGAAATTACTGCACGCTGACGAGGCTTTCCCGCAAATAATGATCTTGCCATTACAGATGTTGATTTTTCAAGGATGTCAAGTGCTGCATAAAACCCTTAGCAAAGTTATACCCTCATTAAAAAGTAAACTAATAATTGAGGAGAGTCCATGAAAACCCATAAAAATGCAATAAGTCACAATACAGCTCAATCAATAAATTTCTAACAAATACCAATCGCTTACATAACATTGCAAAGGATCTGTTTAGAAATCGCATTTTATTTTTTTGCATTTCATTTTTCGTTTTTATTTTGTTCGGCTTATACTTTGATTTTTACTAAAACATATTTGGTTAAGGTAGTTATTTTTCAAAATACTTGAAATATCTTTTAGATGTTTTGAGGGTTTTTAAAAACAAGTTTATTTGTTTAAAAAAACAAAAAAATAAAACCTATAAAAATCATATCAATCGAACAAGCTTTTAAAATTAAAAGAAAAAACAGAAAAAAAAAAGTGAGGCCAAACCGGCATTAAATTTTCTAAGATGCCAGTTAATTACCTTGATTTTCACCTTTATTTACAAGCATATTAAATGAGTCTTGAAATACTCCGCAAATGTAACAAGAAGATAAGTTGCCATCATTTTCATATGTACACACTGAGCATTTCCAAAAGCCAACCATGCCTTTACTATTCTTTTGCTCGGACCAAATTCCTGTTACAAAAGTAAAAGTATATCACACCTGAAAGGAAACATTACTAATTTTTGTAAAAATAAAGTGTCAGACATACATTTAATACGTTAAGGAAATTCAAACTATAGCAAAAACATTTGTAATATTCCATATTGAAAAAGAACTCACACAAGTTCCCGAGGAAAAAATGTCCTTCAAAACAAGTAAGAGAATGATTTGAATAGTAAAATGAAGTAATATAAAAATATAAAACTATTCCTAATAATTGTCTTCTCAAACAATAAGTTCGATTAGCTATCTGCTTTAACTTGTTATTAGAGAGGGTAATGAATACAAGTTCGACCAATACATTTATTCAACAGCATAAATATATTGGTTCTGTATTGCACTGAAATTTATGGTGAAAGGTAACCTGCTCGTGCGGTTTAGAAAAAGTAAATATCAATAACAATGAGAAAAATCAAAACAAATGGTGTGAGGTCCTTCAATTTAAACGAAGCAAACATAAGCAAAAGAGTTAGTAGCACAATCAAGCAGTTAGATGATAGTTTGCTGAAAAACCTTAAAAAAAATTTGTGCACTTTATAAACCAACCTCCCGTTGAGTGATTGTTGCGAACTATACCAGTTATTGTGGTATATATATAAATTAAGCAGGAGAACAATCTTTAAGGAAGCGAAAAATAGAACGAGAAAATTCACAACAGAAAACAGTAACACAGCAGAACACAGAGATTTACGTGGTTCAGCAAATTGCCTACGTCCACGGAGTTGCAGAGAATTTTACTACTTGGTGTTCTTCACAGCAATGAACTACTTCTTGCACTTCTTTTCCTCCGTCCCGAGGAAACACGAAGAAGAACACCAAAATCGTGAATTCTGAAAACCTTAAGGAGAGCTCCTCTATTCACAACTTAAAGGAGACAGAAGGCGGTGTCGTTTCGCAAATATCGCGACCTTTCACGACAGTGGAGCGGGAACAGATATCGCGACAGCAGGGGATCGCGACAAGATCGGGAGCGGAAGGGTGGTTGCGGTCGCGACGCGAGAGAGAGCGGGAAATCGGGTGACAGATCGGGCTCCAGCTCTAATAATCTCTCACTTGGAGACCGATACACAGACAACAAAATCTCCTTCCTCGAACTGATATTTTCCACTAGCGGTGTCACATTTTTCTTCAAACATGAATCCTCCACCATGAATCCTCAAACTATGCAACTCAAAGCCCTGTCTTCACTTCAGAAGATCAACTGAAGCTGCGCATAACTTCAGTGTCTCAAGATTAACACCCTCAGTCAACATATCAGCAGGGTCCACATAGCATTGAACCTCCAAACTATTTCCAGAATTACTCTTGTCTCTGCTTAAAACTCCCACTGCCATCATGCTCAGTCTTCAACTGGTACACCCACTTGTTGTGTAATATCTTTTTCCCTAGTGAAAGTTTTGTCAGCTCTCACTTACTCGAATTTTAATCTTGCAAAATTTCTTTATAACTCTATTATAGCTCTATGGTTCTCCACCATCTCTCTGTGGAACAATAGGAATGGGTGCCCCAGACTCACTCTCATTTTCACTTTCATCATCAAAAGAATTATAAACTGTCAACAATAGTGCATCATATACTTCTTCAAATACCACATTTGCGCTATCATTCCCCATCCTCTTGGGATTCCTGCAGTTCTTATTTATGTGGACAGTCTTGCCACAATTCCAGCAGATTGTCTGCAGACCAGACTTTGATTTTGATCTCTCTTTATTTGAGTTCATGTCTTGTCATCTCCCTCTGAAATCAATATTCAGTGTCGAACTCATACCTGAGATCTCGCCAGAATCTTTCTTGCGAACATCCTCAGCCGAAATCAAATCACGAATATCATCGCATTTCTGTTTAGATTTACCTGCAGAACTGCTAACTGTCATGCTCATGTCTTTTCAACTATTTGGCAACGATGTCAACAATATCAGCGCACATATCTCATCATCAAAATCAATTTCAACACACGACAATTAATTTATGATAGTATTAAAATCATTCAGGTATTGAGCAATAGAAACATCTTCCGCTATCTTCAAATTGAATAATTTCTTCATCAAGAACACCTTGTTATCTGCCGATGTCTTTTCATACATACCTGATAAGGCTGTCATGAGATCTGCAGTCGTCCTTTCCTTGACGATGTTGTGTGCAACGAACCTCGATAGGGTCAATCGAATAACCCCAGAACTTGTCAATCCAACAAATGTCATTCAGCCTCATCCATCCTTTCAAGTCGTTTCCCCAATAACGAAAGAAGTAGTTTCTTCTCATAAAGGTAATCCTCTATCTGCATTCTCCAATAACTAAAATTCGTGTCATCAAACTTCTCGATCCGTGAAACATTCACTTCATCTGCAACCATCATTCTTCCTCAGATACGAATAAAACTTTGATTCCAGTTGTTGTGGTAAATATATAAATCAAACAAGAGAACGATCTTTGAGGAAGCGAAAAATAGAACGAGTAAATTCACACCAAAAAAGTGTAACACAGCGGAACACACAGATTTACGTGGTTCGGCAAATAGCCTACGTCCACGGAGTTGTAGAGAATTTTACTACTTGAGGAATTTACACCAGTCGATCGTCTCGACTTACAAGAGGAATCTCTCACTTTGTTGTTCTCTCTTCTTCTCTCTCTGTTCTTCTCTCTCTACACCAAGATACACCGAAGAAGCTCTACATCGAGATACACCAAAGAAGCTAAACAACCTCTACACCGAGATACACCGAAGAAGATAAACTTACAAGAGAAATAAACTCAATTTTTCTTAAGTCAAAAGCTACCAAGAAGAAGTCAAGGGAGAAAAATCTTTTTCTTCTTCTTTCTTCTTCCTTCACCGCAATGAACCGCAATGAACACCGCAATGAACTACTTCTTGCACTTCTCTTTCTCTGTCCCGAAGAAACCTGAAGAAGAACACCAAAATTGTGACTTTTGAAAACCTTAAGAATAGCACTTCTGTTCGCAACTTAAAGGAGACGGAAGGTTGCGTCGTTTCGCGAATATCACGACCTTTCGCGACAGTGGAGCGGAAATAGGAATTGCGACAGCAGGGGATCACGATGTTTTGCGATCGAGAGCTAAAGGTGGGTTGGGGTCACGGTGCGAGCAAGAGCGGGAAATCGGGAGGCGGATCAGGCTCCAGCTCTAACAGTGATCACCATCAAAATAAGCCGCGTTTCTTGCACCACTCATTATAAATGTGCTAACAGAACTCTAAGGCATATTCCTGAAAAATAAAACAAATTATGCACAAGCAAATGGCAATGTCAACAAAAGAGATTCAGTCATAGCTTCTAAGGAATTCGAATATTAAATGCCAGCATATAGCCATTCCGTAAGACCATTAAAATAACAGAAACATATTTGGAACCCTTTGAAAAGGAGAAAACCAACCAAAAAATTATATAATAATAATAATGGTAAAAAGTATACAAAAATGAACTCAACAAAAAAAATAAAACCCTTTCGCCAAGAACCGCCAAGAAGCGAGCAAACAAAGAAAACATCAAGCAATTCCAGAAGTGAAATGATCCCAATAAAACAATGAAATCTCAAGTGAAAGATCTCAAACTATGTAGACCTGATAATACCATCCAGAATGCGACCCGCAGCAACTGCAAGAAAGAAATGACATCCACCGAACAAGCAGCCAAAACAAAAATGAAACATGAGCATTTCATAGAGGCCAAAAAATAAATAAATAACATCAGCTTTCTCATCATTAGATCTATCCATACAATTTAGGGTCTCCTTTATGCATCCTCCTTTTCATTCATTTCTATTGATTGACGTATGAGGTGTCAAATCTATATAGGGAAATCCCTTTGCACAAATTAAATTTATGTTGCCTCAAGCCAACTCTTTTTACCATTAACATACTTTACTTCACTGTCTTTGACTTCTAATCACCCAACACTCAAAAACATATAACATAGTGTGTCCAATCACATATTTATGAAATTCTCGTTCATGTCATTACAGTATTATAAGAACACAAGATCTAGATGTACTATTCTATTTTAATCATCCATCACTAATTTTAGAAGCTAAATTCACATCTACATTAATAATTTTTGTATAACAGATCCAACATAGTTAAAACTGCTTCATTTAAAATTTAAAAAAAAAATCACCTTGCCTCTAATTACACAAAGTTCTGAAACAAATAACATAGTCCAATTATAACTTCATGAAATTTTCATTTTTGACAATACAGTACTATTACAGCACACGCTCCAGAACTACTATTCTTTTTTAATCATCCATCGCTAAATTTAGCAGTTATATTCTCGTTTACATTCATAATTTTTGTATAATAGATCCAAGATTGTTAAAGCTTCTTAAGAATTTGTTAGGTATGGCTAATATACCAAATAAAGGACAGATGTTGGGGCGGAACGGAGTGAGTGAGCGGAGCGGAGCTAAAGCATTTGTCCAATAGAGGAGTTTCGTTATGTGGGTTAGGGGTGCGCGTTGTCCCCGCGATACGGTACAGAGGTAATTTTGTAATTACATCTTGTACTCTAGAGTTATATATATGTATAGTTTTGTAACCCTAAGCATATTTTGTATTTTTTTTCTGAAAATTAATGAAAGCCGCCGCTTGCCGCCGCTTTGCTCCCGAGCCGCTTTGCTCCCGAGGACGTAGACATCTTTCCCGAACCTCGTTAAATCTCTGTGTTTTCTTTTGGATTTGTGTCAATTCTTGTGTTTCTTTACCCTAAAATTCTCAACAAATTTATACATGAAATTCTAACCAAGACAAGTTTGGGAAGGAGTTGACGTACACAATCTTACCTAGAGGTCAAGTGCACCATTCAAACCACCCCTTCTAAAATTAACAAATAGCAGATCATTCCAAGTAGCAAACTCAAGGTATACATTCATTCTAACAATTTTAGACAACAACTGAGTATAACCACCTCACTTATCGGTAAAGATGGCAACAATAAACATCTCAAGCTTAAACCTTGAGCTTGGAACATGTGGCAGGTGTCGTCTCACATTGATCCTAACTATATTTATTCTTGGAAATTTACATACATACCACACAATTCTTCTGTACTTACATATCTAACGCTCAAAGTTTGATATCTACACTTATACCCACCTTTGCGTCATAAATCTATGTATGAAATGGTGTACTTCAATTCTAAAAAAATAGTGATCGTCTTATTTATGATATGATGCTAAAGATTGAGTGATATGGTTGTAAATATGAATGTTTAGGTGTTAGATCTGTAAATAAATGAGAATTATGTGGCATGTATGTAAAAGCCCATTTATTTTTCCATGAATACTTTGCCAATTTCAACATAGCTTTTGTAGTCCGCATAGAGCAATCCATAGTAGACATAACAAACAGCCTCAAATGTCTCAAATTAAAACATTTATACTGGCTGCCGAATCTAGGTGAGTACTCCAAAGAATAAATATTAAAGAGAAAATGAGTGGCAAAGATTCATAAGAAATTATGTTTTTGGTCTGAGCAAAAAGCAGCGGAAAGTAAATGAAATTTAAGTTAATTGCCACTTTCAGGATTTTTTTTTTTCTGTGAGCATACCACAAAAAAATTTCTTGAGCTAAAATTAAATATTTTGTTCAGTATATTTCATCATTGATTACTATTATTTAGAACATGCGATGTCAATATTAAACAATAATAAACAAAATATCTACACTCACAGAAAATTTTCTCAACTTTCAGATGATTTCCTACTAAATAGCATAGATGCTAAGAGGAATTAAAAGGAAGTTTCGTAGCATGCATATCTCCCCATAAATTTCCATAAAAATTGCTAGTGAAAAGGGTCAGTGAAATTGACTGCAACTCAGATTTACGTTAAATAGAATTTATCAAATACGATAAATCTGAATTTACAAAAACAAGGATGCGGCAGAGGAGCACGGGAATAATTCCACCTGACAATCGGATTTACTAAATCAGAATTTACGTCGTAAAAAAAGAGACAGAAAGCAAGAAAATTCGATTTAACAGAGCATTGGATTTACTTTTCGTTTTTTTTTTTTTTCTAATTTTGTATTTGGCTAGATTTAAGTTAAATCCATGGCTAAAGCCTTCAAATACTATGCTATCAAACACCACCTTAGGGTTATTTAGTAAGAAGAAGATAGTTACGACTACTCTATACCAAAATCTTTCCTCTCTCCCCTTTAATTGCACAGAATATTTCACACGAATTGTTTTTGGACATACTTCCTTCAGGTTCAAACATGATCAATAAAATAGATTTCTCTGACATTTACCATTTTTTTTTCCATTTCCTTTTTGTTCCCTTTCAAATACCATGAAAGCAATCTAGCTTATAAAGTAAGAAGGGCAACTATATTCTTTTCTAGGTTTTAGGGTACGAAGTAATCTTTTCATTTTCAACTCAAGCAAACAGAAAGCACATGAATGAAGAAAATCATCACATATCCTCGGCGGCTTATCAATGCGATTCTTGCATCGGATTCTAACTAAATTGCTACAACTAGCAAATTTGAATGACAAAGAAAAAGTAGAAAGAAGAAGTTGGGAAAAGTACACGGTAAACTCGGGCGATGGCTAACGATAAAAAAACCCAAACATACATAAGGCCGCAGAATCTTAGGGATTTAGAGCCCCGGTGTGAAGGAAAGTGGAGAAAAAAACTTGAAACTTCAATTGTAAGCAAGGGACGACGAACGCAAAATACTGTTTTGCGTGCAGGGGGGAGATGGCAACCTAGTAGCTCAGATTCGTTTCAGAACTTCATTCCGCGCCATTTGCCCTACCCCGCTCGGTCTTTTGTAAGAACATTTAGATTTATACCACCCAATTCTTCTGTATTTACATATCTAACACTTAAACTTTAATTTGTAGATATTTGTCATTTTATTTATGTCTAAAAGATTATATTTCACTTTTAAAAATTAAAATAATGATATTTTTATGTAATAAATAGGTTTACATGTTAGATAAGAAAATATGTAGGAATTGGGTATCATTCATGTAAATGCCCTTTTTTGTGCTCTTTATAAAGTAAATATTAATATTAAACATATATTTTTTGTGTGAATTGTATTTATGTTTTGATTTTAAATAAAAGATATAAAATCTTAAAAATAATTCAAATTATTTTTAGAACATCTAGAATAACTTTGGTTATTCTGATTATTTTTTAAAATAAATATGGCTAATTTAATTTTAAAATAAAAGTATATATTAAACAAAAAATAATTAAAAAAAAATATACCAAATTGATCCTTAAAATAAGGCCTTGGTTTTCTTTTATTTTTTTTCAAATTCTAAATCAAGGTAATAATTATACCCTTTTTTGACATAGATCAACACAATCCAGTAATGCTCAAAAGGTACTGTAAACATATATTCCTACCCTTTTTTTTAATTCAAACTCAAATAATAATAGGATAGATTTTAAGTTATGGGCTCTTCAAATCAATTTGAACCTTGCTTGAATAATAATCAAGTTTATAATTTATTAGAAAAATTATTGGTATTTAAAAAATATTAAGTAACCCAAACTTACATTTAATTTTTTCAAATCAAATTAAAGTCAGAATGTTATAGATTTATATTTGAGGACTCCCCTACACTAATAGTCTTCTTTAGAGAGTTTTGATAATACTTTTATAAGAAACCTTTATGTAGACTCACACACATATATTAATATAGACAGATAAACACATACACATACACATATATATAGATACACACACATACATCAACACATTCACACACACACCTAGATATACATGCACAAAAGCATACAAACACACAAGCACATACACAGACACACACATAAGTACATACATACTTTAAAATAAACACATATAGAAACAAACAACTGCACAAGCACACAAACGTGCGCGCGCACACACACACTCAAGTGGATTTGCCCAACACTCCTTAACCAAACGCAAGGAAGCAAGAGTACTACATACTTATGAATTTTTGGATTTAAAGGTCAAAATTTTGCCTTCGATTTGTCTTGAATCCAACTTTACTAATCCACTAAATTTTGCCTTATGGAGGGTGGATCAGATTCAACAAATTTACCATTTTCGGATTACTAATCACACTATCCCTAAATCCTTGTTGCAGCCAAAAAAACCTTAGCTAAACCCAAATACATACACCAAAAGTAAGAAAAAGAATAATTCGGCAAACAAAAAACAAAAGAATCTAGAAAATGCGAGAAAAGATTTAACTAAGAGAAACACTCAGATACGAGGACTCGTTGGATAGACATCGGAGATGAGCGGTCGCGGGATTGGCGAGTAGTCATGAGAGTTTGGGTTGTTGGAGAGGATAATAGGGCAGTGAAGAGCGCGAATGTACCTGGCGTGCACGGGTTTAGATTATTTAAAAGGGTTAGGCATCAAAAGTGTGTCAACACTTTCTCCCACTATTAAGTGACAAAGATAATAGTGAATAATGTCATTGTTACTATTCAAAATTTAAAAATTAAACCGAGTTGAAAAGTTTTGTTCTCAAAAATAATTTTTTTTTATTTATTTTGAAATCTTAATATACAATTTTGAATTTTTTTTATTTTGATATCTATAAGATACATATAATTATAGTATGAAATCTCAATATTTGTTCATAACCAAACTCAAAAAGACGAATAAATTTTTATTTATTCTTGGCGGGTCGCTTCAGTCGTACAATTTAATCATAATTTTCATTCAAGTTTTTTGGATTTCATATTTTAGTTTTAATAGATTTGACCAATTTCAAATCGATACATTCAAACTGAGTGATTGCTCCCTCCTATTTATGTGTTGGTGTGTGCATGTGCGCACGCGTGTGTGGGTGTGTTCGTGCGTGTGTGCGCCCAGTGTGTGTGTGTAACATTAACACTTAGCAATGCTGATCCATTTATTTCAATACTAATTTTGCAATTCTAACAGCGTACGCTTTAGCTCGTGCCGATGGCAAATCGACATACATGCCGCCTAATCCATGGATACAATTGGATCACATATTTCTTAATATTTTTCAACAAATTCATTTTTAAACTGTAATATAATTTTTATTCTTACTTACGAGAATGTACTTTTCATCTTATCATGAAACATATAAATTGAAAAAAAATAAATACTAAATATCCTAAAATATAATTTTGTCAACGTTTTAAGTTGGTTACAAATTGCTGATTTTAATTTTAGGATTAATTGATAGCTCATATAAAATAGTATGATGGCATTGTTTTAGATTTTACAAAATTATAACTTTTATGAAATATAATTACCATTTATGAGCAACAATATGTTAGCTTGACTCATCTTATATCCAAAATATAAAATCATTCCCGTTTTAAAAAATTTATAAAAAATTATGAAAAAGATAATATTAATTTATAATTACACTCAATTAAACAAATTTATCTTATCACATGTGTTGAATATATAATTGTTCATGAATCACATCTAAGAAATAAAGTGTAAGATAGGAGAGAGAGAGAAAGAGGGGGTTACATCAATTAAACAAATTTATCTTATCACATGTGTTGAATATATAATTGTCCATGAATCACATCTAAGAAATAAAACGTAAGATAGGAGAGAGAGAGAAAGAGGGGGTAAAGACACATAAAGTGATCAGTAATATGAAATACTGATTAGTCTTTTTTTCATAAAATGATCGCAATATTTATAGATGAGGGAGTACAAAATGTGTAATTACATGTTCGCATCTTCTTTAATGGGTATGTTACAGAGTATTTTGAACATTTTACAAGTATAAACTTACAATTCAGCTACCTTCTATCTAAATCAACAGAGCTTGGTGGGCTTCAATTCAACAAGAACTCCTCGATCAACTATGTTAGTCAATATTATCAATCACCTTTTTTTGAATTCGGGTATGAACGATTTGGCTCGGTCGGCTTGATTTCGTCAAACGACTATCCAACTTCTATTGTTCACTTATGATCCCCAAATGAGGAACTCGCAAAACGAGTCTAGACCATCCATAAAAAAAGGAATATATTATTATAATATGATAGGTAGCTCATGCCTCCATGAAAAAGTCCTTCGAAATATTCTTGAGTCAATCATTACCGATCCTGTGCCCTCCCCGAAGAATCTCGGATGGTATCCATGAGAATATTATTATAAAACGTTCCAGACAATAATTTTTCCCACATCTCCCACGAGAGCTTGCCGGGACGTCCGGAAAAACTATTTTTTTTTTCCAATACCACACCCGACTAAGCTACGGTAAAATTTTAAAGTATCATCGTGACAGCAGCGGCACGCTCTACTAACCAACGTGAAATCCTCAGCCAAAAAATAACCATTTTTCATATGAAGCTCAGAAGCTCTATATAATCAGCCACCTTCATCCCCTAACCATAACCAAAACCATCTCCTCTCATCTCCAAACAACTCAAAATGGCATCACCTTATAAACCATGGCTATTTCTCCTAGCTTTAGCCGGCCTCACCCTCACCTCCCAAGCCGGGAAAATTGCCATCTACTGGGGCCAAAACGGCAACGAAGGAAGCCTGTCCGACACCTGCGCTTCCGGCGACTACTCCTTCGTCATCTTAGCCTTCCTCTGCTCCTGCGGCACTGGCCAGAATCCTCAGCTCAATCTCGCAGGCCACTGCGATCCCTACTCCAACGGCTGCACCGGCCTTAGCAGCGACATCAAGTCGTGCCAGGCTAAAGGGATCAAGGTTCTTCTGTCCATCGGCGGCGGTGCAGGATCTTATGTTCTTACTACTAAGGATGATGCGCGGCAGGTATGGGTGTGAAGGAGCATGAGATATATATATATATAACATGGTACTTTAGGCAATACTAAATTTGGCAATGAAAAACAATTTCTTAAATTTAAAACTGAATTTTCATGATGAGAGCTCAATTATTTCAGAGTAAATATTGTGGGGACTGTACATTCAGGTGTTGATTTGAATGAATCGTTGAATGATACCGGACCAAACATATTATATGTATTTTTTAAAAATTTAATTGAGTATAATACTACAAAAATTTATAATCAATTAAAAATATTAACTAAAAAATAGAATAAAATTATTAAATTAGTTTTAAAATTTTTTTAATATAAACAATAATTTTTAAATGTTAGTCCAACCCTTAACATCTTATGTTGAGTGATTAGGATTGTCAAAACGACTATTTGTTCGTGAATAGCTCGTGTTTTGCTGGTTAAGCAAACAAGTCAAACGCGAAAACACCTTTTGTGTTTGAAATATAAATGAGCCGAGCACGAGCTGAGTATGGGCTCGCTCGTGTTTCACCCTATTTACAGTGCTATAATTTCAATAAAAAACAAATAATAACTTCCCTCCCATATCAGGTCGCCACCTACATCTGGAACAACTACCTCGGCGGCCAATCTTCCTCCCGGCCGCTTGGCGACGCCGTGCTCGACGGCGTCGACTTCGACATAGAAGGCGGCAGCCCCGACCACTACGATGATCTCGCCAGATACCTCTCGGCCTACAGCAGCCAAGGCAATAAAGTATACCTCTCCGCTGCCCCCCAGTGCCCTTATCCCGACGCCTGGGTAGGCAAAGCTCTCAGCACCGGACTCTTCGACTACATCTGGGTTCAGTTTTACAATAACCCTCCATGCCAGTACTCGGGAGGGCAGCCGACGAATCTGGAGGATGCGTGGAAGCAGTGGACTGATGCATGTTTTGCCGGAGGCATGCCGCCGGGAGCTGGCGCGGGGGGGAGGGGGTTCAGACCCGCCGGTGATTTGACTTCAAAGGTGCTTCCTGTGATTAAGGGGTCGAGCAAATACGGAGGGGTGATGCTTTGGTCGAGATATTATGATAATGAGACGGGGTACAGCAAGACTATATTGTCGTCTGTTTGAGAAGACGAGTGGGTTTGATGCATAAGTACTTCACGAAGAGGATCAGGTGTTATTGGGTGTGGTTATGGGAATGCATGTGTGTCGTGTTGCTGTTCAGCTGTGTTAATCTGGTTGTAATTAATTACTCTTTGGCTTTAAGTAATTGTGTGCGCTTCATACGTTCAGATTCTTTAGCTGTTATATATATAGCTCTCAGTTTTTATATCTTATATATATATATATATATATATATATATATATATATAAGAATGGTGACTATTATAGGAACCCAAACCATCCTCACGTGTATAACTATTTGAGAACCGTCCTCACTACTTACAAATTGACCAAAGAGAGATTTGAATCTGTGACTTGAGGAGACTTATGAACTTTAAAAAAGTTGCTCTACCAACATGTCACGATTGGCGGTAGAGGGTGTTAGATATATAAATATATAAGAATTATGTGGTATTTAAGTGGGAGTGTAAACGAGTTGAGTTAAGCTCTAGCGGTGATTAATCGGACAAAACTTTAGCATGATCAATTCATTGAGTTTGAGTTCGAGATTGAGCTTAAGTCTATGAGTTGGAGCTAGAGTTGCATGTGCGTCAACTTCTGTATTATAAAAGAGAGGAAATAATAGTAATTTAAGCTGGCTTTAAAACTAAAATGACTAATAAGATGATTCAATAGGAGGTAAATACAAATTACTCTTTGTAAAATATAACAGGTTAAGATTTTAAGATTTTAATAATTTAAAGATAATGTTTTGAAATGTTATATATTTTGAGTACATTTTAAACAAGAGAGTCCAAGAGCTAATGAACGAGTAGAGTCAGGGCGGGCTTGAGCTTGGCATGTTATTACATCAAGCTCAGCTCTCAAACCATTTAGAAAGGCAAGCACGAGCAATCTTATGTGTCAACTAGGCTCACTTAAAACCTCAATATGTGTGTAAATGCCCCTGAAAGAAAAAACACGGGACTACTGTGTTGTCAATTGTGTGGCTCGGCAAGGCTCTTAAAGAGAGGACTTTTCTGGCATAAACCAAGTTGAAGAGTACTTACTCACCATTTGTCTTGATGAATTTGTCTACAAGGTGAGCATGGAGACATGCTTGAGTTGATTGATCCAAATTTTCACCTAGGCTGACTAAACCCGTGAGTTGATCGGCTGGAGTATGGCTTGGAATTTAGTCATATGGGTTTCGGTATATGGTATGGATTTGAAATGAGGGAAATTTTGACAGCTTATATTTACAAGAAATCAGTTTTAGGTTATTAAAGCACACAGATTTTATGGAAGCAAATTATAGAACTAATTCACTGGTAGCTCAACTCACCTTTTTCGTTTGGATAATGGTGATCTATACAATTGTTGAATATTGATTTGTCCGTGAATAACATCCAATGAATACAGCGTAACTAGAGAGAGGGTGAATAGTAATTAACATTAATATGTTGTATCGATTTTCTCTTATTCAGAAAATATTCTACTTATTTATAAACACTACAAGAAACTTTCTAATTAGTGTTAGAATCTGTGTCGGTTTTTTATTTCGACGCAAAATTTGCATTGAATTTCCATTCATTTATCGCCGAGCGCTGAAAACAGCGAAAAAAGTGGGACGCATTGAAGTTTTTTGTGTTATTGTCTGATTTTACGTTAGACATTACATATGTTATTGAGTGACTTAATAGTGTCGACAATATCCAACGCAAAATCGGATGCAAATGCTCTACTGCCCATTTTCCACGTGACCGAACCTCATTTTCTCCCCACTCCCTTTCGGTCTCATTGTTGCGACAAGTCCAGTGAATCCCAGTCGATATTCTTGTCTGGCGATTTTGAGCAACTCCAACACGACTTTCACCGGCCAAATCACAGCTCCAGTAGATAAACTTCTCTCGAAGCTTTAGATAAATATTTTTTTCTCACGAGTCTCCCCTCACGAGATTTGTGTTTTTTAAGTTTTAGTTTTATGTAAATTTGATGTTTTGGCATTAGATTTGTTATGTATAGAATTAATGTGGTAATTATGCGAAATTTCATGGTTTTTTTTTGTGAATATTTGAAATTTAAAGTTTAAGTGTTAGATATGTAATGCATATTAATTGTGTGGTTTTAATGTTTAGGAGGAATTAAGTAAAATTAAATTATGATAGTTAAGGAGAAAAAACGAGGGATTTTTCTCTATTTAATCTTCTTTTAAAAAAAATTATTTGTTATTTTAAAATTAAATTATCTATACTTTTTTTTCTCTTAACAAATAAATAAGCCAAGGAGAGAAGGAATGAGGTGGAGTCACAGTTCCCTTCCAACAACTAATATGAGATTCCTCAAAAGAATAAAGGAGTTAGAGAAAAAAAGTTGCATTTATCTTTGCTCCATAGATGATCTAGGATTTCTTTTCTTCGATATTCTTTCATAAACATAACCTTCAAGATCTTCTTTCGCGATAATCTTTTGAAAATAGTAAAATGCAGGGAATCTTGCCCTGCACTCTGGAGGAGACTGAGAAAAGCTGAAGTTTTCCAGTCGCATATTCCGAATGAGATTCCATGATTGTTGTGCTGCTAAAATCTAAGGAAATCCGCCATGCATTCCAAACGAAACAAAGATAAGCTAGGCATTTTCCACCATGCACTCTGCATTCTAGAGGAGATTCTCGTGCTAGTATCACACTTTTTGAGAGAGATTCACATGCAGTTGCAGTGCATTCCTAGGGAGCTTTCCATGTTATTGTTGCACTTTCGGGGAATATTCCCTTATGGTTGTGATGGCGATCTCTGTAGAATCTCGTCCTCAGAAAGATCAACAAAAGTACTAGAATTTTAAGGATGTGATGCCGACACAATTTGAAGATAAGTTGACTTGTTGCAACCTTTGTACTAGTGTGTGTTGGTTTTTGTAGCATTTCAATCACTTTATGCGACATTTATACATGGTAGTGGTGCTTTTGTCTGTATGTTCTTATCTTTTTTTATGTAATAAAAATTTTGACGTTGCTTTTAAGGTTGTTTTTGCATTTTCTTGAGAGGTGGCTGCTGGACTTCTGGATTGTTGAAAAGAATTTTGACTTTTTGTATGTTGCTTAGTCAAAGCGTGTCTACTCATTGTTCACAGCCTATAGTGGAAAAAGCCAGTTGTAATAAATGGAGGATGTAAAACATGCCATATGATATACCTGAAGATGCTTGACGACGTAATCTGTAATGGACATTTTTGTATGAAGAATCCACTAATGAAGTAAGACCTATTCGAGGTTATCGTTTGAAGCTTCTGCTTGAAAACCGTAACCTGTTATGAAAGAGGTTGGAGGAAATCCACCAAGGAATTTTGACCTATCCGAGACTGTTAGTCGAAGCTTCTTTTTGGCATCCATTTTTGTAAATTTCATACATAATGGACGTCCTACAGAGTGATATGAGATCATATTTTGCTCTTACATAGTGTCCCGTCACTCAAGGAGTTTGTGCCTTCAACGAACATATCTTGCACCAGATTAGGGGTTCGTTCTTTTCTGGTCATGCTCCGAAGCGACTACCATTGATCGACATCGGTCCCCAAATATAAGGCGAGCCCAACAACCATTTTGTTGTTTGGAAGCCATATATCAGTTATTTACGACCTCCTGTGTCTCGAATAAGTCGTAAAACCCCCTCGATGGACATTCCAGAGGTAAGACTTCAGATGGGTTCGACGTGACTACACCCAAAATGGGTGCGATCTTGTCTAACCCTTGACGTGACCATGCAAAAAAACGGGTGTGACAACGCTTATCTAAAAATAACTCAGAAATAAGCCAAGGAGAGAAGGAATGAGGTGGAGTCACAGTTCCCTTCCAACAACTAATATGAGATTCCTCAAAAGAATAAAGGAGTTAGAGAAAAAAAGTTGCATTTATCTTTGCTCCATAGATGATCTAGGATTTCTTTTCTTCGATATTCTTTCATAAACATAACCTTCAAGATCTTCTTTCGCGATAATCTTTTGAAAATAGTAAAATGCAGGGAATCTTGCCCTGCACTCTGGAGGAGACTGAGAAAAGCTGAAGTTTTCCAGTCGCATATTCCGAATGAGATTCCATGATTGTTGTGCTGCTAAAATCTAAGGAAATCCGCCATGCATTCCAAACGAAACAAAGATAAGCTAGGCATTTTCCACCATGCACTCTGCATTCTAGAGGAGATTCTCGTGCTAGTATCACACTTTTTGAGAGAGATTCACATGCAGTTGCAGTGCATTCCTAGGGAGCTTTCCATGTTATTGTTGCACTTTCGGGGAATATTCCCTTATGGTTGTGATGGCGATCTCTGTAGAATCTCGTCCTCAGAAAGATCAACAAAAGTACTAGAATTTTAAGGATGTGATGCCGACACAATTTGAAGATAAGTTGACTTGTTGCAACCTTTGTACTAGTGTGTGTTGGTTTTTGTAGCATTTCAATCACTTTATGCGACATTTATACATGGTAGTGGTGCTTTTGTCTGTATGTTCTTATCTTTTTTTATGTAATAAAAATTTTGACGTTGCTTTTAAGGTTGTTTTTGCATTTTCTTGAGAGGTGGCTGCTGGACTTCTGGATTGTTGAAAAGAATTTTGACTTTTTGTATGTTGCTTAGTCAAAGCGTGACTACTCATTGTTCACAGCCTATAGTGGAAAAAGCCAGTTGTAATAAATGGAGGATGTAAAACATGCCATATGATATACCTGAAGATGCTTGACGACGTAATCTGTAATGGACATTTTTGTATGAAGAATCCACTAATGAAGTAAGACCTATTCGAGGTTATCGTTTGAAGCTTCTGCTTGAAAACCGTAACCTGTTATGAAAGAGGTTGGAGGAAATCCACCAAGGAATTTTGACCTATCCGAGACTGTTAGTCGAAGCTTCTTTTTGGCATCCATTTTTGTAAATTTCATACATAATGGACGTCCTACAGAGTGATATGAGATCATATTTTGCTCTTACATAGTGTCCCGTCACTCAAGGAGTTTGTGCCTTCAACGAACATATCTTGCACCAGATTAGGGGTTCGTTCTTTTCTGGTCATGCTCCGAAGCGACTACCATTGATCGACATCGGTCCCCAAATATAAGGCGAGCCCAACAACCATTTTGTTGTTTGGAAGCCATATATCAGTTATTTACGACCTCCTGTGTCTCGAATAAGTCGTAAAACCCCCTCGATGGACATTCCAGAGGTAAGACTTCAGATGGGTTCGACGTGACTACACCCAAAATGGGTGCGATCTTGTCTAACCCTTGACGTGACCATGCACAAAAACGGGTGTGACAACGCTCAAGCTCCCAAACAAGGACCTGAATTCCTTCAAGTGGTGTGACCAAGCCTACTTTGGGCGTGGTTACGTTGACCAAACAGAGTTCCCAGCGTAATTACGTTAGGGCGTTGGCGTGACCACGCAGGTTCATCTAGCTCTTGCTATTTCGCACGACCGGTCCCCAAAAATCAGTCATTAGAGATCTTTAATCACCAGATAAGTGATTTTTAGTTGGATTTTTATCCAAAATAGAATGGTGAAAAAAGCTAGTCCATTCCTCTTTATGGAAACTTGGTTAGATTCTTGAGCCTAGATAGAGATATCCATCCTCTCAAGCAGAGCAGTCGAGAAGAAGATCTCTGGCCATTCGAGCGAACGAGAATCCATCTTCCAATGGAGAGCAAAGGGCATATGGGATTTTCTCATCTCTCTCAGAGAGGAAGCCAAGGAAGTCAACCCCTTCCCCATTTGTCTCATCTTCCTCTTTCTTCTCACGACACTCTATGAGTTTAGCTTTGAAAGGAATTCAGATAATACCTCTCTGACAATGAGAGCTTATTCATAGCTTTGGAGAAGGAGAATAGTGGCATCAATTTTTTTTATGTCACGCGTGTAGGATGTTCGCTTGAATGACTTGAGACTATTTACTATTCGTTCATAGTGTCTTATAGCTCAAGACATCCATCTAGCCCCTAGTGCGTGCTTGAGGCACTAAATCAAGTTTTGCGATGATTTCATCTTGCTCGTGACAATCCAATGTTGGGTGGCATCATACATGGCATGAGACATGTTTGATGTCTATTTTGGTGTTTAGAGACCATGATATATTCATATGGAGTCTCTTGTGGTCAAAGGAATCCTTCGAGGCTTCTTGCGGTCTTTTCCAGGAAGATTACGGTTTAGAACTTTGTACCAGCACGATTTTTGGCGAGTTACAACATTAAAGTATTTTATAAATCTCACACTTTCGTATGATGAAAACTACCAAAAGACAACGAGCATGAAATTCCTCTTACAAAATTCCTTTGCATATGTGATTTTGTAGTCGGTTTTATAGAGTTATCTAATATCTATTTTCTTTCATCATGGTATGGAAGCTTCTAAGGTGGACATATCTTTTAAAGATGCATGAAAATTATGATCAGGCATAAGGCATAAAGAGGAGCTTGTAAATAAAAAAAAAAATCATGCCACTTAACCTTTCTAATATTTTTCAATTTATTGACTTGATAAATTCTTAATGGTTTGGTTTTATCACGTTTAAAAAGTCAAGTTCCTTGATTCATTTAAAAGCTCGGATTATATAAATTTTAGTGATATACGTGTGAATCTCTTCAAAATATATTCATGATTAAAGGCAGCACAATGCACAATTCTTCCACTAATGCAGTATGTAAGGACGTGCTGTTTAGGGCTGTCAAAACAATTTGTTGTTCGCGAACAGCTCGTGTTCGACTCGTTAAGAAGCTCGTGTTTGGCTCGTTAATTTCGTTCAATGAGTTAACGAGCCGAACACGAACTAAGATGTGTCTCGCTCGTGTTCGGCTCGTTTTAGCTCAAAATATTACTCATCAAGTTTAGATGTGTCTCGCTCGTGTTCGGCTCGTTTTAGCTCGAAATATTACTCATCAAGTTTATATATATATCGTAGTATTTCAAAAAAATCTAATTGACTACAAGGCTACAAAGATTTATAACCAATTAAAATATTGATTAAGAAAATAAAATAAAAATTATTAAATTAGATTCAAATGATGTTTTAAATCTTGCCCCAAATTCTTAACATATTATGGCTACGTGATTAAGGTTGTTAAAATGACTCTTTGTTCGTGAACGGCTCGTGTTAGACTCATTAAGCAAACGAGCTGAACACGAACACACATTTTGAGCTCGAAATATAAACGAGCCGAACATGAGTTGAGCATGGCTCGAATATGTCCTTGACCGGGTCAATTTTAGCATAGCGCACAATTTTAGCAAAGTTATAGTCAAATTGACCGGGTCAACAAAACGAAACAAATAAAAACACGTGCTCGAATATGAGTCAAATCAAACCTAATTCAGGCCTTTAAACAATTTTTTGAAGGTTTATTCCAAATCTGACAAGCTTATAGTTAAATTAAGTGTCTCGGCGAGACAAATCCAATAAGCCCAAGATCACTGAATTCGAACATCATAGAGATACTTAAAGTCCCCTCAAATGTCTTCTGATCAACAGAATCATTATGGGTTGTTCGGCGAAATAGTTCAGATGCATGCTTTAATTATGGAGGATGTCATCCCTGCATTTTTGGGGACCTAGAGAAAGAGCTAGACCTGAGTCAAATTAGGAGAAAGAACCAATTTAAGTTGTTATAGATTTAAAACTTGGCGATCACTATTGTAGTTGTCGAACACCGTTGAGCAGTCCGTCGACCACTGCTCACTGGTCATCATCAACCAGAGTCGATCGCCCCCTACGATAATCATTTAGGGACCTTGCAGAGTAATGAATGTACTTTGCAATGTAGTCATGTGCGAACTAACGATATACATTGCAATGTAACGAAGCACCTTACGGAATAGCGCAATGTCGGTCGGGTTTGTGTTTGATTTTTTGATCAATTATTATTCAAGTCGGGTTCAGATCATGCAATTTCAAACCGGATCAACTTTAAACTCGAATTTGACCCATGAATCCGATTTGACAACCCTAATATAAATAAATAAATGCATCACAATGAGTGCTATAAATTTGAATGATGCTAAGGCTTATTAACTTAATGATTACATTAACTATATCTAAATAAAAACCCACATTTTTTTCCCTTATCTCTCCCTTAATGCAATATTGCGCAAGGAACTACAAGACCATGTTGACCAAATCAACAGTAACAGGGGCTGGAACTGACTAAAGAAGAACATAGAAGCTCTGAGAAATGCTGACAAATTCAAGCGAAAAGGTACAGAGAGCAAGGGAAAAAAACCATAAATCAGCTCATTCTCTTTTATTTCTTGCTTCATTTTCACATTTGAACTTACAAATATAAAAGGATTGCACTCGATCAATGTTTTTGAATTATATGGCAGCTGAATGAACATCTTCACCAGGTCCAGCATATAAGACTTAGGTACATTTATAATGGTTATCAATGTTCCAAAGGATAAATTCAAACATAGTTGATTGCTATGATTTCTTAATGCAACAGCACCACTTTCCCATACTTCGGTTGATAAATATCATTCATACTTCGTGTTAGATTTGTTGAGAAATAATCAGAATCACAGCAAGAAATTGCTCAAAACACGCTTTGGAATTCCAGTAACAGCAATATTACATACATACCCCCCCTAAAATCCTTAATACCCCAATTTCACCACCTCTAGCTAACCCCTCACCCTCAATAGCTTTGTCGTGACCCTTCGTGAACTCAAGGAGGCAGCTCAAGCAGCCAGTGCAAATTTTGAGACTCTCTCCAGCGAGAAAATATTACATGCGGACTCTGGACGCAGTTTGCTTCGGAGTCCAATGGTTGGGTGTCAGGGGCCCATTTGACACGTGGCACTCCACCATTGGTCAGTGTTCAAAGCGGTGGGGCCCACTTAACACGTGGCTCTCCACCATTGAACTTCGGATGCATTCAGAGTCTGGATGTAATACTTTTTCCCCTCGAGCCTAAGCAACCACCTGTTGTGAAAGCAATCAACAACCTGCAAGACATATTCTCCATCACAACAACATCGAACTTTTTTTCTCAACCCGCAAGGAACCAGCCAAGGAGATGCAGCCCTTGCAAAGGATGCTTCCTGCTTTCTCTGTGAGTTATTCCTTCAAATTGGAGCAAAGTTGGCCTCATTTAGAATGAGATTCAACAGCTATCAATAGAAAACCTCACTAACTGTCTAATTTCATCGATTATGCTACCAACGGTAAAAATACATGCCATCACGGAAAATAAAAAGCTCCTAGTAGTTCTAAACGTAAAGCATAAAATTTGATTATTGATTTTCAATTGTAGATATAAAATTGAAAATCTCTTTTTTTTTTTTAAATTTAAATCCATGTTAATTTTTAATTACAAAAACCAAATAATGAAATATAAAAATCAAATCTTATTTGCTTGATGCATCTTACATTCTTTATTAGGCCAAAAAGTTGTTGTAAATGTTGAAGTTTTTGACGTGAAAAGAGAGATTTGGATTACTAAATTTTGCTTTCTAGTTTTTAGCTTATATGACAACATCATGATTATGCCTATTTATAGGCACGAGAGACAAAATCTTTAAAATTTTAAACTTTTGTTATTATTTCTAGAAAAGCGTGCTCTAGATTCTCATATTCAAATATTCTAGAGTATTCTCATTTAATACAGATATCTTAGAAACTTCTACCTGACTAGATAGAATATTCTAAAATATTGGAGAAATAACATCAATTTTATCACTCCTTGATGCAAACTTCGATTTCTCCAATCATATTATGTAATAGTTCAAAGTTTCATCTTGAAAGTGCCTTTGTGAATAGGTTAATTGTTCAATTTATTGCTTAGCCTCGGCTTTCCTAATTAAATAATATTTGATACCAATATGTTTAATTCTGCAATAAAATATAGGATTTTTGTCATTGCTATAGATGGTTTGCTATCACAATATATTTTGTAGCTCCATTTTTTTGTTCACTCATATCTTCTAGTACATATTTTAATCATATAACTTAGCTTATAGTTGTGGAAGGTGCTATATATTCAGCTTCAACTAATGATTGTGCAATAGTTGTTTGTTTCTTTGATGCCTAAGAAAATATTTCCGTAGTTTGAATACATATCCTGAGGTGCTCTTCATGCCCTCCACTGATCAATCACTGTCAATATATCCAATTAGCCTTGAGTTTGGAATGGATTCTTATCAGATACCATAGTTCTTTGTTCCTTGTAAATATCTAAGTACTCTTTTAGCTTCTCATTGATGAATTTGGCTTGGACTTTACATAAATCTTGAGAGTAGACATGTTGCATACATAACGTCTAGTCTCGTCGTTATTAAATAAAGTAGCTTCCAATACGACTTCGATAAAATGTGTTATTAGTCTTCGGTACATTATCTTCCTCCATAAGTGTCTTGTTTAGTGGAGTAGCTACTATCTTGCAATTGTTTATCTTAAACTTCTTTAAAAAATTTATGTATATTTCTTTTGTGAGATGAAGATTCCCCTTTCTTTTTGAATTACTTCTATCCTAAGAAAATAATGCGTCAGACCTAATTTGGTCATCTTGAATGTCTCCATCATGTCTTCTTTAAAATCTCAGATCAAATTCTCATTATTTCTTGCATAGATAAGATCATCTATATATAGGGAAACCATGAGAGTGTAGCTCATACCCAAGCCTTGATGTATAGCCTTGCTTTATAAAGTAGTTGTCAATTCGACTATACCAAGCTTTTGGAGCTTGCTTTAATTCATACAAAGCGTTTTTTAACTTGATAATTTTGCCTTCTTGACCTTATACTACAAATCCTAGAGGTTGTTCCACACATCTCTTCCTTTGAGTAACCATTTAAAAATGCAATTTTTACATCTAGTTGATATATTTTCTTGTTTTATGTTGCAAGTGCAACTAATGCTCTTATTGTATTATGTCATGCAACTAAAGCAAATGCCTAATTATAGTCAAATCCAAATTATTGTGAGAATCCCTGAACTAGTATTGCTTTATATTTTTAAATTGATTTTCTAGGATTTAGTTTTGTCTTGTAGACCCACTTGACTCCAATAATCTCTTTTTCTTGTAGAGAGTCTACTAGCTCCTATGTCTTATTTTTCTCAATCATCTTTGTTTCTTCTTCCATAGCTTGTCCCTGTACTTCTTGTTTTGAAGCTACTTCAAAGCTTTCTTGCTCCATGATTGCAAAGCAACAATATTTATAGATTTTTGGTAGAGATTTTGTTTTTTTATGTGGTGATTCTGGAGATGAATCTGCATCTTGGTTTGACCCTTGTATGGTTGCTTGTATTGATGGTCCTGGTTGATTATTAACTGCTTCCACTTGTTAATATGTTATTAGTGTCATGCTGATACTCGTTTCAACCTTTTTTTGTCTTCCAATTGTATGCATCGTCTTCATCAAATTTCATATCTCGGCTAATGATAGGCTTCTTTGTTCTTACACTATAGACTCGACATCTTTTAGATTGAGTACTATAGCCTAAAAAAAAAATCAATTTTCTATCTTTTCATCTAATTTACATTTTTTTTTCTTCAATACTAATGTGAACATAACAAATATAACTGAAGACTCTTAGATGTTTTGCAGAAGAATTCCTTCCATTCAAAGCTTCAATTGGCGTCTTGTATTTTACCACTTTAGACGGACATTTATTTAGTAAATAAACTGCAGTATATAAAGCTTATGGCCAAAAACATTTTATAATACTCCATATCCAACAATATGGTTCTTGCTCTTTTCATTATAGTTCTGTTCTTCCTTTCAGAAACTATATTTTGCTCTAGTGCATATCCAATTGTGAGTTGTGGTTCAAGACCTTTTTCACAAAAAATGTTGAAGTTATTTTAGGTATATTTCTTATCTCTATCATTTCTTAATGTCTTCAAGTAATACTCACTTTGTTTTTCAAGTACTAGTCATTCTTGTGTGATCATCAACGAAAATGATGAAGTATCTATTGTGCTCTAGTGATGGAGCATGCATTGATCCACATATGTCAGTGTGAACAAGCTCTAATGGCTCCTTTGCTCCCATGTTTTGCTAATGGAAATGACTATTGATATTGGTTACCGAGCAAGACATTTCACATACATCATTAATTTTCTTTATTGAAGAGAGATCTTTTATCATGTCTTTTGGTGGAGAATCTTCGGCCTATGGAAGTTGAAGTGCTCAAGTCGCTTGTGCCAAATCCATGACTCATCTATTTGTTTCTTTATTGTCACATTATTTATGTATCCCCCCTAAATAGGAAAACATATGTTATCTTTCATATTAATTTTGAAATATCAAGAGATTTGTCTTTCTTATTATATATTGTGCATGCTTCTTCCTCATAATTCAAAGAGCGACTTTTTTCAATCATTTGACATACACTGAGTAGATTTTGATCGATGTTTCGGACTAAGAATACATGGATATATCTTTTAATTGTTCTTATGTTAAAGGATATGGTGCCTCTTCCTATTGCCTCCATGAAATCAATATTTCCTATTTTGACTTTTTTTTCTGGTTTTTGTCAAAACTATATTTTTTTTTTGGTCATATAATTACAACAACCAATATTAAGATATCATGTATTTTCTATTCTAGTGCAACTTGAAAAGCATATAAGAGATTTTTTTCTTCATTTATCTCTTTTGAAAAATTGGCTTTTGATTTTTCTTTAATTGATAAATGTTTTCTGTGCGCCCAAATTTCTTACAATTTTGACCATGTTATTTTTTTTTTAAACCAACATTTTTATTTCCAAATGACTTTTTCTTTTGCAAAATGCCACAGAAGATTTTTGTCACATTTTTCTTCATTATTTTTATTTTATTTTATTTTATTTTTTTTGTGAATTTCAGTCACCTTTTGATTTATGAGACCGCAAATTCGTATTAGATTGGAACACATTTTTTTAGTATTCTCACTTCGGCTATTCAACATTTTTTCATATGTTTTAATAGAGTCCATTAATTCTATTAGTGATAAAATTTCTAGATCCCTTGATTTTCCAATTGCATAAATTATTGATGACATTTATACATACAAGAAATTAATATTTGTCCTACGATTTCCTTGTTAAAAATGGTTGCTTCATAGGCTCTCATTTGATTAACTATTTCATTTATATTGGAATAGTAATCATTTCCAGTCTCTTTAGCTTTCATTTTACGATTTTCAAAATCTCATTTAAGATTTTGTAATTTTGATGGAGTGTACCTTCTTAATTCCTTGAAACTCCAATATAGTGTCTTACTCTTGTTTTGCACTTGTAGCTCCCGTGATTCGAGAAAATATGTTATGACATTGCTTATTATAAAAAAAATAATACTCGAGTCTTTTTTGTTAATTCTCTGTTAAGTGTCTTCTTTTGATTTGCAGAAAGAGACGAAATATCTTCCAAAACATTGAATCATTCTTCAATAATCTTTCACAAATTTTGGGAGTGAGAAAAAGTATTCAGTTTGATGGACCAAAAATCATAATTTTCTCCATTAAAAATTAGAATCGGGACAGATGAGCGGTTGAAATCGGCTATTGTAGACATACTGAAATCATAGAACGCCCAACGAATCATCGAACGGAGCTCTGATTCCAATTATTAGAAAATTTTGAAGAGTAGGATGTAGATTTAGTTTACTAAAATTTGCCAAGTAGTTTTTTGCTTACATGACAACATCTTGGTTATGTCTATTTATAGGCATAACAGACTAAATCTAGAGATTTATAAACTCCTACAATTTTTTAGAAAAACATACTCTAGATTTTTCCTATTTAAATATTTTAGGAGTATTCTCATGTAACACAAATATCTTAGAATCTTCTACTTAGACTAAATAGAATATTCTAAAAAATTAAAGAAATAACACCAATCTTATCAGCAAGTAATAGCTCTTCTTTCTACTAACTAGCCGAGTTTTATTGTAATCTGGGTTTACTCAGAATTTGCCATTTGGTCCATAGTTCTTCCATTGTAGAATAAGGTTTTTGAGATTTGTAATTTAATGCATCCGCTAGTTGCAATCCATGTTCAACTCTACTTTGTCATAGTTTTTTTCTTCAGCAATTGCGGTTGAGATTCTTATGGAAAAATCACGATTCTATTGGTAGTAAAAAAAACTATTTTGTCGTTTTTTTTTTCTTTTTCATTGAGGTGAAAAGATGATTAAAGTCAAGTGATTGTGTTTCTATTGGTTGTAACAGCTAGAAAAAAAATTTTTTGCAGATGTTTCTTGGTTAAAAATCACATTTCATTCATAATATTTAAAGTGAATTGATCTTATTTTTATACATGAGATTAAATGAAAATAAAATGCTCATTTTTATAATATGAAGCTTATCTTGTGAGTAATGTGAATATCAAAATAATTATAATTTAAGAAATCAAGTTGTTGGGGGATACCTACAGTCTAGTGATATACGGTCAAGATCCAGCGCTCGGAAAAATAGGACCTGCAAACATCACAAAAGGCAAGACATATAGTTGGGACACACATAGCACTAAAATCTTTAATATCACATCAAAAATAGCACTATTATCACTTTTTAAAAATAAAATGCAGCTTTTCATATATACGTTTAAAGCACTGAAGTGTTGTGTATGTAAATATGAAGGTTTAGGCATGAGATATGTAAATACATAAGAATTGTGAGCTGCATATGTAAATTTTCTCAAAAATAAACCAGTAAGCTACCAGAATAATGCGAATAGGTGGGCAACTAAGACATATAGCTACTTGCAGCCTAGTGATACATAGGCAACTAGCATGTTTAAAGGAGATTGAAGAATAATCATTGCTATAACTAAAAATATGTTCTGGTTTTCATAATTTTTTTTTTCATGATCACCTTCATCGATAATCCCAAGATAATAAGAGTAATTGGTACCACTATCTACATCAAGTTTTATAAAAAAAAGGTCTATAAATAAGCCTAAGATGATAATCAAACAACATATGCAAGGCATGAAGTTAAAATCCTGCTTAAGTTGATCACCACATGAGTCAAGCCATAGTAGCAACCGCAACTCCAAACATCGATGTTAAAAAAGCTTTGTAACTAGTAATACATTATGCATCGCATCAAAAGTTTTAGAAGCAATACAATTTGAACAAGTTTCATCATAATGTTATCCTCAAAGCGTACTCCTTGCACACTTCTCAGGTTAAATGTTGCATGTTTGACAGCATCACTCCATAAGAAAAAGCTACGATCATATTCAGTCCAATTTTTGAAAAATCAATGAAACTTCCATGATTTTTGCCAATTGCAAGTATATAATGCATATGTCATGTTGCATCAACAGATAATTTGAAGATTCCAGATAGATCTAGCCCTCAAGCTAATGAGGCAATTGATAACTTTTGTATTTTCGCACAAAATCCAGCGTATCTATATTAAATTGTAGTGAACAAAAAACATGATTTTATAATGCTTTAAGCTAAGGCGTAAATTAGAAATAGTCTTGAAACATCATTTGTTGTAAAAAATAATGGTTTTAACTTGCCATGGTGAAGCACGCCATCCTGAAACATGACAATAATGTTGTCTTTCTTGTTCTCTGCTAACTTGCCCATTTTTCCAATTACACGTGGGGCATTTATTGGCTTAGTCTGAAGAACTCGTATCTACAGCCACAGATGCATAAGCAACCAACAAAATATTGGAATTTCATTTAATTTTATCAACTTTCCATCAATGCAGACATATCCAAATCCCTATGGATGCCAAAGCATCCATCTACCTTAACATATTCCTGAAGCAGCATTAAAACCAGTGTTGGGACTTCCTCAATATTAAAACCAATGATCTCAGAAAAAAAAAAAGTCTAATTCAAGAATAATCAAATTAAAAAAACGAACTATATGGTGAAACAATTTTAAGCGACTGATACGGTATATCAATAAGGAGAAAATGTGAAAACTGAAGTACAGGAAAGTTCTTCATAAATCAAATTAATACATCCAGACATAAATGCAAATGTTTACTTGGTAAGAAGAAATAACAATAATGAATGAATTTTCTCAGTAAACCTTGCATCCAACTAACATGGTTTGATGAGATACAAAGGCTCAAAGCTGAATATCAATGTAACTTTAAAAAGAAACTTTTAAAAGAAAACTTGTGAGTTTGAAGCTGAAAAGGAGCAGAGAAGGAAATAACTAGAAGATGAGATAGAAGTGAAAATAAAAGATTGTAGTGTCTGGGAGTTCGAGCTTAAGCAGAGAGAGCAACAAATTATGAAAATGGAAAATTCAGTTAAATCTGAGCTTCATGCCATTTCAGACAAGGAGGAAGACGTAATGAAGAAACTCCGGATTTTAGAGAAGGAAAAATCTCTCGAATCAAAAGATGCAGAACTTACAAAAAGAAAATAAGGAAATTAATAAGAGGCATGAAAAACTTCATAAAGAGAAGATCACACTTGAAGATGAGAAGATGGAACTATTTCGTGCAGTGGAGAAACTAGCTATCTCTGCAAATGAGAGAAATGAGCTGCTTGTACTCGAAAGAAAATTGCAAAAAGTGATTGCTAGATTTAGATTTCAAAAGTTGGAACTTGAAATTGGAGCTGAAAAACTGAAGTCAGAAAAGGAGAAATTTGAAATTGAATGGAACCTAATTGATGAAAAACGAGAGCAGTTGAGGAAAGAAGCTGACAATAGCTGAGGTGAAAAGAACTATTGACATGTACCCCAGGAATGAACTCGAAAGTTTAAATGCAGAGAAGGAGAACTTGCGCAATCAGTTGAAGCAAAATACTGAATCATTGTCTCATGAGTGGGATGACTTTATGAGAAAGATGGAGCGTGAACATTCAGACTAACCAGTAAGGAAAGACTAACCAGTAAACTAACAATCAAAGAACCCCAAATTGATGAATGCATCAAGGAAATCAAAATCACGATAACAACTGATCATACGTTTTTAAATCATGATGGAATAAATTTGGGTTTGTAGATGAAGTGCTGATAGAACATATCAAGAAAGAAAAGAGAATATGGGCCAAATATGACAATAGTTAGTACAGAATTATGGCTTAAAATACGGTAAATTAGGTCTTTTTCATTAAAGAGAAAAAAGCAATTTTCATTCATATACAACAATAACAAGTCTTTATCCCACTATCTGGAGTCGGCTACATGAATCCTTTTTATTCATTGTGTCATATTTTCATTTAATTCTAATAAATAACTGTATTAAAATACTATTTAAAGGGGAAAGTACTATTTGCAACCAAAAAAAAAAAATCATTTCTAAATAACAGTAATTACCCGCAAAAAGCACTATCAAATAACAACAGAACAAGGCTAGTACAAATGGCTTGATTGATTGCATGATTCACGAAATAGCAATATAACAACAGAACACTTACTTCTGACTCTAATTATTGATTCACGAAATAACATACTCCATCAAAAACTTTAAAAATTAATTAATTAATGTAGGCTGCTTCATAAGCTTCTCCACTCTCTGCATGCATCTGCCAACAAAAGAAAAAACAAGGTAAGAGGATAAGAACGTCGTTCATGAAAACTATCATGTGAAGGGAAAACAAAAAGAAATATGTAAAATTGTCAAGAACTTTTTGTTGTTCAATAATATCAATAAAAAATGGGCACCTCTCTGGCATGGAAGGTAACAGATCCTTTACGGAATGCATAAGAGCCTTAATGCCAACATTCTCCCCAGATAAACCTAACACATCTTTCTTATCTGCGTTAAATACAATCAAAACAGCATTTAATCAGAAAATAACAATATTTATCATTTTCATGCAAAGCCTCTCAATTAACTTGTATATTACCTTCAAAAATTGTAGAATGCAATACTTCACCGGTGAGATGATACCTAGTCGTAACACCCACATCTTCACCTTTTACAAGCAAAAAACTATTCAACATGTGACCAATAAGTCTATAAGAAACTAAACTTGTCTCATCACAAAGTTCTTTGATTGAGATATCTCTACAATCTTTTGGCGCTTGTGTACTTCGAAGCGATGCTTCCATAGACTTTTTATAATGGGGAATTTGATCATCAATATCGTCATCTTGCTCCTTCTTGACCTTCTTCACAAAATCATGTTTGATACTCTTACTGCAACTATCACTATTAGCAGAAATTCTGCAAGTTTCAGGCATTGAATCCCCCGTGCTATCAAGTTCACCGTGCATGGAAAAATCATTCTTCCGCTGCCATCCATACTTGACAATACTGGAACAGTAGGCATTCTCGATGAGCTCAAAATCATTACTCATAGTATCATCGTAGCTTTCTAGACCCACTTCCGCCTTCTCATCAGTGCTCATGCATGAGACAAAGTGCGAGACAATTTGATAAAGTCCAACGCTCACATTAAGTACCGCCTCCATCTCTACTTCAATCATCTCCTTCGAACAAGTTTGAGAATGATTACTAGGACTCTGGTTTAGAACTGCTAAAACATCAGAAACAGCACTTGGGATCTTTATTTCATCACATTCCAACAAATATTGCATCAAATATTGCTTAAGATCATTCAAAAAGCTGCTTGAATCATCTTCTAATTTGACACCCAGAATAGCTTGCAAAGCTTTCATCTGATCAGAAGTAATCTTTGGGATTGACCAAAGAGCTTTTAAGATATCATTCTGAAGGGTAACTGTTTCGATTGAGAAAGAGAAGAAATTTGTTGTAAATGTATAAGAACACTTTGTTTTGTACTTGAAATACAGGTGGATTGTAGAGATTACTTTTGCTAGTTCTTTGGGCATCGAATTTTCATTATTTAAAGTGAGAATGAGTTTTTGGCATCTTCTCTGAATACTATTAACAAGCTTATTCTTATTGTAGCCAATCTTGGAGGGTGGAAACGTAAAAATCGTCTTTTTACTTTTAAGTTTCCTATTCAAAGCAATGAGAGCAAAAAGAGGCATACTGTGAAGTAGCTCCAACCCTTTGTGTATGGAAGGTAGAGCAGATGAAGCAGGAGTCATTACGTTTGGTTGTTTCTCATTATAATTCTCAGGACTTTTCAACATTTCATATAATTGCTCAAGAGTTGCTACCAATGCCCCTTTAGCAGCTGAAAAGTCATTTGAGAAATGATTTTTTATAAATATTTTTATCCCTGGACAGGTTCCCTCAAAGTTTCCTGGACAGGTTCCCTCAAAGTTCTTTGCATCCTCAGTAATTAATTTAGCAAGAAGGCCTAATGCATTATAGCTTAAAAGACCGAGAAGCGAGTGAAATTTCATTAAATTGGATGATTCCAGTAAAAATCTTTGTAATATATACACGTCGGATAACACCATGTGATTATGAAAATCATGGAGCCTTTCTGCAGTATAACATAATGCACTGTAATTTCTCTCAACATTTATTTTGATAGCATGGGAAGAAACCTGAAATAAGATTATTGAATTTTAGTAAAGTAAAATAAATAAGTTTGCATATGGAGCAGACAAACATGGAAAAATAGGAACCACATGCTCAAAATAATCAACAACTAACATTGCAAACTCAAAAAAGTAACATCATTTATGTCAAACTCAATAACCATTTGAAATAGAATGAACAGGTGAAGAGATCAAGTTACTGACATAGTACTTCTTTTTCACTGTGTATAAAAGCTATAGCTTAATTTTTAATGGTGTTTAACTAATTGTTCATCACATTTTAGATTACATAAAGAATAAATATTTTTGTAGGACTGAAGTTTGATTTTACGTTGACAGCCACTCATAGAATTTGTGCCATAATTCATCAAATGAATAAAAAATTGAAATTAGTTGGTAGTAAAGCATTACACCAAAAGCCCAACTCAATCGTAGCAAGAAATAATTGCTAGAACTTCGCCTATAAATGACACAGCATAAAAGTGAAAAAAAAAATCTCTCATAAAATTACTCAAAGAATGATCAGTTAATGTTATACGGTAGCTGCACTTTCTTGAATGATATCAAACTTAAATCCAAAATTAATTATGTTAGTCAAGAGAGGTTATCATCTGTCAAAAACTCAATTTTTATACCAAGTAATCAAGATTAAGGTATAATAAAAAAAAAATGAGTTTAGTGGCACAAATTATTTAAATTGCTTTTAAAATTATTGACACATGTTTACAGAATTCCAAAAATCTAAATTCTAACATTAAATATTAACTTTTAGATGTTTTAGCTACACCCAACACATTTAAATCCTATTCACGGAACTTAAAAACCACTAGTTTACATTATGATGACACACAAAGAAATGGATGCGAGTACAGTGGAATGAAAAATAATCTATCAACATTACATGTATAAACATTATACGTTCAAGCATGAAGAACAACCATATAGTGGCATAAAATAACAATGTAATAACAATAAATCTAACAAATTTGTAATTTTGCATCAGGCTTTATTTTGTATAAATGTTATGTTTTGGGCTGTCTATCACAACATGAAATTTGCAAGAGTTCCATGCAACAAAAGATCTCTTCAAACATTTATATGAATTTAAATCCGTAGGGGTACAGAAGGGATTTAGAAGTCCCACAGATTGCAAATTTGATGGAAAGTTTTTGGAGTGACAAAAGAAGCACATTAAAAAGTTATGTCCTCATATGGTTCATCCCTTAAAGAAATATGAAGGGGAAAATTTTAGTGCACAAGAATGAAATCTAAACCAATTTAAAGATAGCTTCCTAGTGCTTTTATTTAGAAAGATATCATCCAAATCTGTAGGACATGAAAAAGCAATCAAATGTCATTTTTCAATGATTTGATAAATTTTTAATAGTTCTGTTGTTTCTTCAAAAGCAATTCATTCTTGAGCACCCAACAAAAGCTCAATCCCAGTATTATTGTTTATGCATTTGCATAAAAACAATATGTTAAGTTGTTTATTTTGTGTCTACGACCAATTTTCAATTAAAATAGAGCACCGGTCATCAATCTGTGGCAACTAGCAATCATTATTGTAAAAAAGATTCTTAATCTATTAAATATCCCTAAAAGTAATATTCTTAATGGTCAAAAGAAATTAAGTTACTTCAAAGCTAAAGCTTTAGAAGTTCATGAAAAAAGTGAATCTCTCATGCACATAAGCCTTATTTTTAGGTTTTCCTCGAGTTATTAAGGTAGGCAACAGAATTATAATTAAAAAAAAAAAAAAACTAGAAAACAATAAAAAAAGATTAAACATAAAGATAAAATATATGATGTACCCTTACGTTGTAAATTTTGAATCTTCCAAGTATATGAAAAATTCCATC